CTGGTTTATATACTGAATTCTCAATGTATGTTTATTTTATAATCACTTCCATACTCGGAGTGGTGAGCTGTGATGTTTTTGTTTTTGTTTTTGTTTTTGTTTTTGGGGGGGGGGTCTGATCATGGGGCCTGAACTCTGGGCCTGGGCGCTGTCCCTCAGCTCTTCAGCTCAAGGCTAGCGCTCTACCACTTGAGCCACAGCGCCACTTCCGGCTTTTTTCTTTTTGCTTATGTGGTGCTGAAGAATCGAACTCAGGGCCTCAGGCATGCAAGGCAAGCGCTCTACCACTGAGCCACCTTCCCAGCCCCATGAGCTGTGATATTTTAATGTCCAATTTGTATTCTACTGAAGAAATGTGCCATTATGTGCTGTTCTTCAACTGACAAGCCATGCACTTCCAAGGCTGTGGATCTCTGTTCTTTAACCTTCCGTCCTGATGCCACCTACAATGAGGCCTGCCCATTTTCCCTGTCAGAATAAGTCACTCTTGGGAAGTAGAATGATTGACAGAAAGGTTGGGGCTTTGGAGACCAAGAAGCTTGGCTTTTACCTGCAGCACTTCCTAGCTGTGTGGCCTTGGAATGCTTCTCAAGTAATCTTCAGTATATCACCTATACAGTCAAGATAACACTCCCTACCTTAGAGTATTAGTATAAGGATTGAGTGGTGGAATGCTTGAGTTCCCTGTATGATGGGGATGATAATAAGCTACCATGTATTCATCAGTTTTTAAGGAAGATTAAATCAGATACCTCAGGCACTTCTATGCTTAATACAAGTAGGAACACAATAATGCTGGCTCTTCTTTTGCAGACTGATAAGTCCTCTTGCAGGGATTGTTTTATTGTAATCACCAGAGTGTGAGCTCTTCTATGGCTTCCCATGGACAAAGTTCTTCCCTACTGGCTGCCTGTGTAGGCTCTGTCTGGTGAGCTGTAGAGTAACTCACTGCCTGGTTGGGCCTTTCCCTACTGCCTGCCATACTCTAGGAAGGCCTCTGATCACTAGACTTCCCTGCAGTCCCTGTTAGATGGGTACCCTCGAATGGAGGAGCCCTTCTGAGCAGGGGCCTGAGGAGAAAGAAACTCTTCTTAAGTCAGACTTAGTATCCAGATACCAGACCAAGAAGAAAATAGTTTGTCCACACAGAAACAGAGGGACAAAGGATGAACAGAGGCAGCAGTGGTACTCACTAGACACTATGTTGAAAATGAACTGCACAATTTGTGGGGGGAGGGAATGGGAGGGAAAAAACTGGGAGAGAATGAAGGGATAACATTGTCCAAAAAAAAGTACTGATTGCCTGATTTATGTAACTGTAACCCCTCTGTACATCACCTTTATTATAATAAATAAATAAACTTTATAAAAAATTTGCCTGACAACTGGCCTTAAGGGGCGAAGGTCAGCTTTGTACAACCTCTTGGGCCTTATCGTCTCATTTATGTATGTGGGAGATCTCTTTCTGACAGAAAGGTGGTCATGTCCTGGCGTTGGAGCCTGAGGCAGGCTCACAAGAACAAGACTAGATGGTTCTCACTCAGTAGCCAAGATGTGTATTCTAACAGTAGTTCTCAAAACTGCTCAGACCTGCTTGGGGAGAGACCCTGCAGGACCCAGCAATGATATTGCAATGGTCCAGCAGGAGAGCCTGTTGCACCATCAAGTTTGAGAACCAACAGCACAGGAACCCACAGAGAAGAGAAAGGAAGAGAGGAGGGCCAGCAATGCCTCTTTCTCAGGCCTTCTCTGAGGACTATGTTCCTACCCTGATTTCTTACATCCATTCCTCTTTGTTTGCTAAAGCTGGTTTCAGAAGATTGCTCAACCAAGGGGTTTGAGTAATGAAGTAGGGAGTCTTCCAAGAAATTTATAAAACAAATGAAGCTTTGAGGTACGCAGACCTCTTACTTTAGCATTACCCGCTTCTTTTATACCCCAAATCCCAGCTGAGGAGTTCTGCTCACAAGTGTTCCTAATCTGTCCTTTCTGGGCTGAAGCCGTCCCCAAGTTTGTCAAATTTTGTCACTCAGAAGTCAGCTCATGGAGGAAAAAAGCAGATATATGTCCAAATAGTTATGTATGAACATGTTTATCTTAGTATTAATATAGACACAATGGACAAATGGAGGGGGTTATCAGGGAACAACTCAAATAACCACAGACGTAAGCAAACTGTGCACACTATCTAATAGAATGTACTCAACCCTCTATATCCACAAGTTCAGCATTCACAGACTCACCTCACGATGAATCAAGAACACTGGGAGAAAAATTGCCTGTGTACTGACCATATACGGGCTTTTTTAATCCTCTGCTTTTTGCAAAGAAAGAGTTATGAATGCATCATGCTCATGTGGCAGGAAGAAGCAAAGTAAGCACTTCAGCTCATTTTCTGGGTGCAGACATAAGCTTTAAGTTTAAATGGCAGAAAAATTATCCAAGAGGGGACGCATAATTATTAAACCGTCCAGCCACGGTGTTATTCAGAGTCAGAGATGGTCCCATTGCTCATTGTCTCAAGACTGGTGAAGCAGATACTGTTATAATAAGCTATTATTTTCTGGCAGGGGGCTAGTGGCTTCTCCTGTCCCAAGATGGTTATCAGTATTGTCCTTCCTGAATTCCAAGGTGGCTTCAAAATGCCTTTATATCTCAGTATCTAGGGCAGAGTTGGAACATAGTTTAGTCTGCTCGTGCTGCTTTTTCAAAACGCCATAGACTGACTGGCTCAAGCTACAAACTCAGTTCTCTAGAATGAAGGTTTTCCTGAATGTAATGAAGGCAGCAGCTTATTATCCAAGTTGGTGCCAGGAAAGTGAGACAAAGCACTCTACGACTCACCCAGGAACCCACACCAACTCTGGTTGGCATCAGGCACCAGTTAGTTGGTAACTGAGATGGCCACTTCTGTCCTTCCTGGCTCAGAGGCTGAGAAGAAAGAGGGGGAAGGGAGGCTGGCATCAGAAGTCAAAAGGAAAGGAAACAAAGGCAAGTTTATTTACCAACAAGCCTGAGCACCCTCTAAGGATGCATGCAATATGTGGCTTTTTCTCAAGGGCGGTTGGAATTTGGGTCATTGGAGATAACTTGTCTTAGAGTTCCTTGCTGATGTGCCCCAAGATTTCAAAAACCTCTGCTCACACTCTGTTGAATTCCAGGGGATCCTCAAAGCCACGTCATTTCAGGGCGTCAGGGGTACTTACCCCTATGTGCACACTATTGTCATACCCAATTAGCTCTTCTCTCTGGAGCTTAATTCTTATTGCCAAGACCTGCTTTAAATCTTCAGTCATTACTCAGAAAGTGTGTCATGTTCATCATAACCAAGATCATCCAACAGCCACCATTCCCGCTGGAGTTTCAGGCAAGCTTGACCAGCACAGCACGTCATACTCTCTCATGGTTGCCTTTTGGCATAGCCACTCTGGTACTTACAAATAAAGTCACAATGAGATGCAGTCACTGCTTTTCTTTGTATGGTTTCAAGCATTCCTGGTGATCTGACTTGTTTCTCTGTTACCACGGCTTATGTATAAATGCATCAAAGAGTCGGTTAAGTTGGTTTAAAGAATGTTTACTATAACATGGAGGAAAACGTTTTCAGCACAAGGACACACCTTAGGCCATATGCAAATTGTATTAGTAGGTTTTATTATATCCATTTAAAAACTGAAAGTACCAAGATTCCCAAGTAGCTTGTAATCCAAGTTATGTACAGTCCATTTCATGCCTTTCCCCACCTCCCAAGGCCACACTGATTCATTTTCTTTTAATTCAGTATGTGGTCACTTAACATTATGCTCTGAATAGGCATCATGCTTTTTTTATTGAATAAAGTCCCTATGAGCAGCAATTACTGCCTTGTTACTATCTTTTCTTTCTGGACAATTAGAAAATCCTGGTTATCTGGCTTGTTTTTCCACCACTGTTGTTAATCAATAAATGAATGAGAAATAGTTTATATAGTATAAAGAATTTTATAAAATTATTACTGAATGTTTCAAGAAATGCAAAAGAGTGTAGTAAAACAATTCTACTTGTTGTTTTATGGGAATTTTTCCATAGTTTTTTTAAAATTTATGCCTTTACATGTGGACAATCCCTTTCGATCTGTATTCAGGTTGTTTGTGTGTTACTTTTTTTGGGGGGAGGGAGGCTGGTGCTGGTACTGGGGTTTGAATTCAGGGCCTTACACTTGCTATGCTGGTGTAATACTGTAGAGCCATGCCTTCAGCCCTGTCTTTTGCTGTTAGTTGTAGGATGTGGTCCCATCTGGGCATGCACCTGAATTATGATCCATGTACTTTTGGCTCCCTGTGGGTGCTGGAATAATAGGTTTGCACTACAACCTCCAGCTTCCTTCCTCAGCAATGAAGTCCCACAGATTTGGGGAGGGGAGAGGAAGGGGTGGTGCTGGGAAGGCCTGGAACCTTAATCCTCCCAATCTCAGCTTCCCTTGTAGTTTAGTCATGACCACTGTGCCCAGTAGTGGGTTAAGATTTCTCCTGAACTTTTCTGCCCTGGCTGGCCTTGGACAGTAATCTTCTTAATCTTGGCCTTTCAAGGAGCTAAGGGCTGAGTTACGGACACTAAACTTATATTCAGTTTTTTGAGATTACAAAGTTTTTTCAAAACACAGTCTTATTTTACCTTTCCAGCCAAAAGTAGAAAGTTTTCTTCGGACTCAATAACCACAACTCCACTCTCCCCAGCTCTACGCCTCCCTTCCTCCCTCATCCCCAAGGACAGGATATCTCTGTTAGGTCTGTTAACCTTTTTGTCTGCCGTCTGCGACCACATCTTGGCCAGAGCTGTGCATCTCCTGGGACCTGTTGGATTCAATCATAGTTGTGTGTGTGTGTGTGTGTGTGAGAGAGAGAGAGAGAGAGAGAGAGAGAGTCACACCTTTGGCTTAACTGACTTCTGTAACAATGAAGCCTCTTCACACTTACTCTGCCTGGAAGCAATGGAAACAAGTCAGCATTCTTTCTGCTTATGAATGTCCCCACCATGGACAACACAGAGCAAGACCAGGGTCTGGGCTGAGGTGTATATGGAGTAGGTTTATCCTCCCCATCTTTCTATCTAGTAGTGTAAGAACACAGCCTGTGGCAAACATCACAGGCCCAACCATAGTCCCTTTATGTGTTGTTTGTATCAGTTATTACAGTGAGCACAGACTGCTTCCAGAAGATTCTGCAGATGAGCCAGCTGACTGGTGGACATACTCTTAAATGTGGATAGCGTGGGAAACCTCTTCAACTGATACTTGATTTTTATTTTCCGAGTCTGTATATTTATTTACAGTTTCCCCTTTATTAAAAAAAAAAACATATAGCTGGGCGCCGGTGGTTCAGGCCTGTAATCCTAGCTATACAGGAGGCTGAGATCTGAGGATCATGGTTCAAAGCCAGCCCAGGCAGGAAAGGCCATGAGACTCTTATCTCCAATTAACCACTCGAAAACCAGAAGTGGTGCTGTGGCTCAAGCGGTAGAGCGCTTACCTTGAGCTGAAGAGCACAGGAACAGTGCCCGGGCCCAGAGTTCAAGCCCCACAACAGACAATAATAAAATAAAGGGTCTGTAATAACATGGAAAGATAGTTGTTACGTAATTTTAAAAAACATGCATAGATCTAGGCATATCTTGGTCTATAGTTACATGTCCTATAATTAAAACTCTTTGAACAAACCTTATGTATAAAACAATTCCTGAACATGATTCATGGTTTCATCTCTCTCAGATGGTTTTAACTCTTTCCCTACATTCTCAGTTGAGAGCCAGCCAAATCTTTAGCATTTTCATCTACTCCTTTTTTTCTCCGCTGCTGTCACCGTTTGCGCTGTTAACTCTGATTGCCACCAAGTTCTGCCCATTCTTGACATCAGATCCCTTTGTTTTTTTCCTGTCCCCACCGCCACCGCCCACATTCAGCCTCTCCATCTCAGACCCAAGTTTCTGCAACATCCTTTAAATCAGTCTCCCAGCTTTTAATGTAGATCTGCCCCTTCTTTCATTCTCCACATTTCAGTCTGGGCCCTCTTTTCTTCTTTTTTTTTTCTTTTTCTTTTTTTTTTTTTTGTCAATGATGAGGCTTGAACTCTGGGCCTGGGCGCTGTCCCTCAGCTCTTTAGCTCAAGGCAAGCACTTTACCACTTGAGCCACAGCACCACCTCCAGTTTTCTGAGTGGTTTATTGAAGATAAGTGTCTGGGCCTTTCCTGCTCAGGCTGGCTTTGAACCACGATCCTCAGATCTCACCTTCCTGAGTAGCTAGGATTACAGGCATGGGCCACTGGTGCCCAGCTCAGGGCCCTTTTCTTTAAAAAACAATACAAAACAAGAATATTACAGCATACCCAGCTTAAATGGAAGGTTATAATTATGTTTTGTTGTCCTCAGTAGACAGTTTAGTTTCTTTGAGGTCTAGCTTTTAGTCAATTTTCTGGCCTCACCTCTTGCCTTCCCATACTCTGCCAGTGGCCCATTAACTATTGTTAAATAACTTGTGCAAAGCCCTTTCTCTCTTACTTTCAGACCCTGATAGGCTGCACGTGCTTTGAACCCTGCTCTAAACAACTCCTATTCATCAGGCCTCAGCCTTATCAACTTCAATGAAATAAAGATAAGACAAAATTTAATTAAAAAACAACTGAATAGTGATAACGTGCCTTTATTATATGTGTAACTTGACACATCAATTGCTTATCAGAAAAGAAAAATTGATGCTGCTCAGTCATTGGGTATGGTTTATCTAATGCCTAGGCCACCGCTGGTTCTAGGTAAACCTAAAGCAAAACTCTCTTTTAGCAGATTCATTCCTCATTGATTGATGGATTCATTCATTCACTCAGAATATCTATCATTCGTAGTTATTCAACAAATGGCCATGTAAAATTAACAGCAGAGAGTCCCTAGTCTCAAAGGTCTGATGAAGACTCGGGAGTACTGAGAAAGCACCAGAAATAGTTTCATAGTGGAAGTGAAGTAGAACGTAGATGAATAGGTAGGTTCAGCATGAGAGATGAGAAGGTAACTCTTTCCAAAATAGGAATGAGCAGGGTCCAAGGCGCAGAGATAGGTTTAACATGTAACTTACTCAGGAACACAGGTAGTGTATTCAGAATGGCTTGTTGTGGGAGTGCGGGTGTGATGGAATTGAGAACCATGTGTCTCCAGCCATCTGATTGCAGTTTGCTATGCATTTTCTACCATATTTTTCTACCATCTTTTTCCCTCCTGTCCCTCTAAGTCTTACCTGCTTTCAAGACTTTCTTTCTGGGGGCCGGGGGGAGGATGGGAAGGGATGGGAAGGGGAAACAAAGGAGGAGGCTACAATGCTTGATAAGAAATGTACTCATTATCTTGCCCATGTAATTGTGACCCCTCTGTACAGTATTTTCACAATAAAAAAAAAAAGTGTGGCACGTATTCACCATGGGACATTACTCACTCACAAAGAAAGGAATTAGGTCATTTGCAGATATCTGGGTAGAACTGAAGGTTCTATTAACCAAAACAAGCCAGATTCAGAAAGGTAATTATTGCCTATTTTCTCTGATGTACACAATTTAAAACTAAATAAAAATGTTGATCCAAAAAAATTTTTAAAAAGGCATTCTTTCTTCATAAAGACTTCTATGTACCAAACAGATAGGTAATTGGTCTTGTTTTATTTTGCACACTGCAATTCAACATTACAAATCTTACCAACCTATAAAATCGTAAACTCCTTGAAGGTAAAGACTAAGCCACTAGTGCCAACCTCCAGTTATTCTTAAATTCCTCTGGGCATCCAGGTAAGAAATCAAATTTTTCTTGGTAAATATTCATGGAAGCAAAACTAGCCTGAAATCTCTTCAAGTCAAAATCCTAGACAATATCCACGGGCCTACCAGCAAGCAATGGCTAGTCTCTCCACAAATATCATCTATCTTTGGCACACCTGCTGTGATACTGAATCATATCACTTAGATGCCATTAGCCTGATTTTCTGATTCTTGGAGAAGAGATGAGTAACGTTACAGGAATTAAGAGGGATTCTCACTCAAAGTCCCTAACTCAAATCAAGTATTAATTGGCATCTCATCCATGGGAAGTAAAAAATAGTATCATCTGTGATGACCTACTTCTTATTGTTAGAAGAACAAAGTCTGTGTTCCACTCTACCGTGTGTTAGCCTATGACCTTGGACAAGTTGTCTATGCACTTGCAAACCAGTCTTCTCTATGTGTAAATCTGAGATAACACTACCTCCTGAGGCAATTATGAGACTAAATGTGGTAATGGATATGAAATTAACTGGTCATATATGAAATTAAATATGTTATTTAGAAATCGGAGAGCATTTAACTATTTTTATAAATTAAAATTATTTTCCCTCTGTTTTAATCCCAGCATTCAAAATCTACATGGAAACACTCCACAGAGAGATAAATAAATTTATTTTTAAGGCACTATGGTACCTATCATCAAATATCTAAGAGATCTACCCATCTTCTTACGCCACTTATAAATGTTAGACTCCTCACTCAGGATTGCAGATTGCCAGGGCAGGTGTGGTTCAGAACTAGACAAGGTGCCCTGCCATACCAGCTACCTTGAGAATACAACAGCTGAGGTAGTCGCACACGCTCAGGCCTTGGAACATTAACTGTTCCCAAAGAGAATTGTGCAAGCCAGATCCAGGTTGTCCTCTATAGAACAGGGATTCTACTTAAGTTCATCAGGAAAGAGTGGTTAGCTGGGCACTGGTGGCTCATGCCTGTAATCCTAGCTACTCAGGAGGCTGAGATCTGAGGATCACGGTTCAAAGCCAGCCTGGGCAGGAAAGTTTGTGAGACTCTTATCTCCAATTAACCACCAGAAAACTGGAAGTGGTGCTGTGGCTCAAGTGGTAGAGTGCTCATCTTCAGATGAAGAGCCCAGGGACAGTGCCCAGGGCCTGAGTTCAAGCCCCATAAACTAACAAACAAACAAACAAAGTGGTCAAACAAACAACAGGTAGTCCTCAAATCAAAGACTTTAAAAGAGAAAGGAAGGAGACAGCAGCAGTGTCTAACGGCGGCCCCGATCTAACCTATAACCAAGCCTAGACTCAAAGGCTGTCACTGAAGCAAACTGGCGGTGTCATCTTGGGAAACTCATCTAACTTCCCTGAGTCTGTAAAATAAGCATGATAAGACCCGGTTTGTGCTGTTAGTTAGGGATGACTTTGTGTGAACTTTTTCCAGATAGAAGAATGCTATATGATTATGAGCTCACAATAAATTTACCTGCCTATTGGTAATTATCCAGATGGTCCCAATGACCTGGGTATTTTTGGGCCTCCATGGAGTTGTCCATTAAAGGGCTCTCCTGCAGGTGAAGGGTGTACCGAGAGACCCAGTTGACTTCCACGGGTATAATTCAGAGTCCCCCCTCACTCCGGTAGTTTGTTGTTGATTTGAATGTAGTCTCCTCCAGGAGTGGGGCACAGGGACCTCTTTATACCTACCTGCAACTACACTATGCTCTCCAGGCCTTCCCCTGGCTCCATCCTTTTGATCCTCCCAATAAGCCTTCAGGTTAGCAGAGCAGATAACATTTCCCTTCACCCACACATACTTTCCATAGACGATTTGCCTGCAGCCATGCAGCTCAAAGGAACAGCAGGAAGTCTTTGGCCTCTGCACCTGGAAGCCCTAGCTGGAAGGGTCAGCAGAGAATGGAACCCAGGTGTCTAATAGCCTTGCTCTTTCTTCCCCAGCCCAAGCCACAAGCCAACCTTCACCAAGCCCCTGTAGGCTGCTGCCCTGGGAATAAGCAGACCCTCCATTAATTCATCTTTCCCAATAAAACTGGTTTAGCGGGGACACCTATTTCTACCCACAAGTGTTTCTTACATTTGTTTCCAAGGGGACTCGAAAGGCCTTTGCTCTCCCTCTCAGTCCTAGCTCTGTATGTATAACTGGGGAGCACCCTGGAGCATACCCCCCCCCACACACACACACTGTGATGAATGGGCTTTCTCAGGCCAGCAGACATGACTTGAAGCCCTGCCAGCTGCGTGTGCTGACCTCTGCGGCAGCGCTGCACTCAGATGTGATTACACCCATGTGTCACAACACTTGGCAACAGTTCTGGGAGG